CCTCAGGTGATCCACCCACCTTGGCCTCCCAAAGTGCTGAGATTACAGGCGTGAGCCACCACACTGGTCTCAAATTCCTAAGCTCAATCAATCCATCTGCCTCGGCCTCCCAAGGTGCTGGGAATACAGCCGTGAGCCACCGAGCACCGGCTTGATGTCCCAGGGGAATTTCTGTATGCACCTCCCGACCCCTCTCCCAGGGCCTGCCACTCACCCTCAATGACATAGATCTTCTTCTGCAGCTCGGTGAATCTTTCAGCTTCTCAAATGTGTTCAGAATCTTCATAAATTCTCCCGCAGGTTTTGAGGGAAATTTGTGGAGTGTTTCCTGACTCTCCTTGGTCTGAAAATTCTTTCCAATCTGTGAGGGAGTGGAGAATGAGGAGCTGGCATTCCTCCAAACCTCAGTCCAGTTTCCTATTATGTTCACAAGAGCCTGGCCCCAGGGAGAAAGGGGTCTGGGGTTCGGGAAGAGGAGAGGGAAGGTGAGATGCACAAAGAAGCCGGGGCCCGGGGCCCATACCCCAATGATGTAGCGGATGATGTCTTTGGCTGCATCGATGTTGCCATTGTCGGTGGCTTCCCCATCTGTGATGATGACGAGCACTTTGGTGGCATCTGGCCGGGCCCCCAGCTCCTCCCGGAACACCTCTTTCCTATGTCCAGGAAAGGAGGAGGTGAGAGACTCCCTCAAACCAGGGCCTGAGGTCTCCTTCCCCACCTGCTCATCAAGTCACCGCTGTACTGGTTATGAAAAAGGCCTTCCCGCCTCTCCCAGGCCGGGATTCCAAGCCTGCAGCGGTCACCTCTGAACCTTCTTGCTGCCATCCCTCTCCCTCTGGACCAGTGATCCTCACACTGCAGCCTGGGCAGCCCAGAGGGTGTCCCAGCCGGAGCCCATGGTCAGGAGAACGAGGCTTTGTGAGGAATGACTCTGGCCTTCCTACCCTCCATTGCAACCACACGGCCACCGCTCTTCAATCAGTTATAGATGTTGATCCAGGTGAGAATTCAATGAGGAAGAGAGAGTCCTATAGCTGAAGAAAACTGGAGAGTCACTCTTCCAGAGCAAGCTTTCCCCGCACCTCCTTGGCCTTCCCATGGTTCCCAGGCTGCCTGCGGATCTTTACTGTAGCAGTGAACCTAGTGAATTACCGTGACTTTTTTCTCTGTCACTTTCCCCCCTAAATCGTGAGTTCCTCAAGGAAAGGATCATGTTGGATTTGTTGCTGTGTCTCTGGCTCCCAGTACAGAGGAGGTGCTTGTGCATGTGAGATGAAGGGAGAACTAGTGTTACAGCTGTTTTAGAATTTGTCTAGCAGGTGTTCTGTTTCTTGCTGAAAATCATCCCCACCCCAAAAATAAAAATAATAAAATAATAATAATAAAGAAGGGAGAACTAACACCAGATGGGCCAAGGCTAAAAATTTCTGCCTTGGGAGTTCCAGACAAGCCTGGGTGACATAGCGAGACCCCAACTCTACAAAGATGAAAACAATTAGCCAGGTGTGGTGATATGTGATTATATGCTAACTACTCAGGAGCATGAGGCAGGAGGATTGCTTGGGCCCAGGAGTTTGAGACTGCAGTGAGCTAGGATCATGCCACTGCACTCCAGTCTTGAGTTTAAAAAAAAGAAAAAGAAAATCCCTGCCTTGCCCACAGCCTACCTTTGAGCAAGTTGGGTTGGGCATAGCTCTTACTGCAACAGCAACGCAGGGTGAACCATCTCACCCACGAACACCTGCTATCAAGACCTCTAGTTCCTTCTTGGATGCAAAATGCTTCTCCAGTCTCCATCCGCACACACGGGCCTATCTCAGGTCCTGTTCGTGGATTTCCACTCTGGTTTAAACAACCGTTATCTCTCATCTGGACTTTTCAGTAACCTCGTAACTGGTCCCATCGCTTTCACCGCCCTTGCCCCCTCTACAGTCTAATATCCACCCTGCAGCCAGAGGGATCTTTTAAAAAACATAAATCAGATCATCACTCCTCTACTCAAAACCTCTAATGACTTCTCTTCTTACTTAGAGGAAGGCCAAAGCCCTCACTATGGCCTCCAAGTCACTAACCCATCCAACCCTCAAGATCTCCCTGACCTCATCGCCTACTATGTTCCCCTCTCACTTATTTCTCTCCAGCCACACTGGTGTCCTGGTTCTTCTTTTTAAATTAAAAAAAAATTTTTTTTTTAGAGATAGGGTCTTGCTCCGTTGCCCAGGCTGTAGTACAATAGTGTGATCATAGCTTACTGCAGCTTCGAACTCCTGGGCTCAGGGGCCAGGCGTGGTGACTCACACCTGTAATCCCAGAATTTTGGGAGGCTGAGGCGGGTGGATCAACTCAGGTCAAGGGTTTGAGACCAGCCTGGCCAACATGGGAAAACCCTATCTCTACTAAAAATACAAAAAAACTAGCCAGGCATGGTGGCACAGGCCTGTAATCCCAGCTACTTGGGAGGCTGAGGCAGGAGAATGGCTAGAACCTGAGAAGTGGAGGTTGCGGTGAGCTGAGATGGTGCCATTGCACTCCAGCCTGGGCAACAAGAGCAAAACAAAACTCCATCTCAAAACAACAACAACAAAAAAAACCCAAATAAATAAAAAAACAAAAAATCTTGGGCCCAAGAGATCCTCTGGCCTCAGCTTCCCAAAGCACTGGGATTACAGATCACGCACCTGGCTTAGACTTTCTCTTTTGGATTTAGTTAGTACAAAGTGGACTTCTGTTACGTACAACCAAAAGAAGCTGCAGTAAAATTGTTCCACTTTAATTCAGACAATAAACTGCCCCTTGCTGTACCTACCTACTGAGTTCCCATGCCCTACAGCTAGAAGGAGTCAGGTAACCGAGAATGCGCTCTCCTGCAAAAGGGAACTCACGCGACATAGTTGATGGCACCAAAGGTGTTGGTCAACAGCAACATGTGCTCTACATGCCTCAGCAGAGCGTCAGGGTCCTTCTGTTTAAGGTAATCTAAGAAATTAAATTCCGTTTTGTAGCTTGTGGAAAATTGAACAGCAGCAAACTAGAAAAGGAAGGAAGAAATGATATGCAGTTACATATCTCTTTCCATTTATCTGTTCCAAACT